ACCCCTAACTCACTCCTATATCCTCCTACCGTGCTGCCCCTCCCCACCTCACAGCCTTCCTGCCATGCCTTGGCATAGATACCCATCACCACCCCACAGCTCTGTTACAGCTGCAACACCCCCTTCCCATTCACCCCAAGACTGTGCACCCCTGTGCAGGTTGAACTCAGTAGTTACAAGCTGGGACCAGATGTAACAGCAGCCCCATGTGGCTCGGAGGAAGAGCTGTCTATGAAGACTCATGGGCAACAAAGCCCTGGAATAGCTCCATGCAGGGTGCTGCACTCCTGCTTGAGCACCAGTCGGCTGCTTCAACATGAAACCTTGTTCACAGACCTTCAAGAAAGGTTGCTTAGTGTTTTTACAGACCCCTCCATTTTAGTTGTGTTATTTATGGGCTGTCCATTAACTTAGGGACAGTTATCCCTAAACCACACACCCTCCATTCATCCCTCCAGAACAAGCCAGGCACAGCAGATGAGAGGGAGGCACCTCATGGTTCGCACTTTGCATCAGGCTGAAGTTGGTTCCTTCTTCCTGGTTCTTGGCAGTCCTCCTCTGTAGCCAGGCCCCAGGTCTGGGAGCTGGACTCCAATGGGGGTAGGGACCTCTTCCCCTCCTGGTGCTACTGCTGCCAAGGGTGAGGCTGGCCTCTCTGCTCTATGGGGGAGGCTGAATGGACCCAGCTGGGCTGGGGGTGGGGTGGTACATGCCTGCCTCTCCTACCTGCCCCGCATCCTCCCCCTCTCTCCTGCCATGGCTGGAGCAAAGCTGAGCAGAGAGAGGGCAGATGCGGGCTGCCTTCTGTAGGCTTGGGGCTCTCTACCCTGCTGCCTTTGCCCCGGTAGCCCTGCGCCCTCTGCCAGCCCAGCAGTGGCGAGGTACAACTTGCTGCCCCCACTGCTGCCAGGCAGGCAGGGGGTGCTCAGCTGGCATGGAGCTCCCAAGGGAAAGGCAGTAAAGAGAAGAGCCCCAAGCCCACAGCAAGAAGCCTGCATCCACCCTGCACACAAAACTGGAGGGGCACATGCAGCCCCTGTGCGCAGTGGCAAGGAGCTGCTCCCCCCCAGGCCCCTGGATGGGCCGCCCATGACTCTGTCCCATTCCCTGCTCCCAGGTCCCATGCACCAACCTGGCTGGGCAGCATTCCCAGCCCCAGTCCCTGCTCTACTCCCTCCCTCACCATGAGGGCCTTGATCTGCCCCCCCCACCCCCTTTTCCCTCCATATACCTACCTGCAGGGAGCTGCTCTCCATGCTGCCTGTCTGTTTTCCTGGCCCCATGCATGCATTCAGCTGTGCACATGCATGCAGTGCCTTCTGCGTCTTGTTCCTGGTCAGGAGCTGATCAGGGGCCCCTGGGCTCATGCCCCATGGGCCATAGATTTCATAGATTTGGATTTCATAGACATTAGGGCTGGAAGGGACCTTGGAAGATCATCGAGTCCAGCCCCCTGCCCCAGAGGCAGGAAGTCAGCAGGGATCATAGGATCCCAGCAAGATAAACATCCAGATGTCTTTTGAAGGCATTCAGAGTAGGTGCTTGAACCACCTCCGGCGGCAGTCTATTCCAATCCTTGGGGACTCGGACAGTAAAGAAGTTCTTTCTTGTGTCCAACTTGAAATGGTCACGGAGGAGTTTGTGACCATTCAGCCTTGTCATCCCTTGGGGCACTCTGGTGTACAGACGTTCCCCCAGATCCTGGTAAGCACCCCTGATGAACTTATAGGTGGCCACCAGATCATCCCTGAGCCTGCACTTTTCCAGACGGAAAAGTCCCATGGCTCTCAGCCTCTCTTCATAAGGTCTGCTTTCCTGACCTCTGATCATGCGCGTGGCTCTCCTCTGCACCCTCTCAAGCTTCTCCACATCCTTTTTAAATTGTGGAGCCCAAAGCTGGACACAGTACTCCAGCTGCGGCCTCACCAAGGCCAAACGGTTGTTTGGGAGGATGACGTCCTGGGATTTACTTGAGAAGCATCTGTGAGCATAGCACTGCCGAGCCTATAAGGATGTTGCAGGTTTTTCTTCCCAAGGTGGAAAACCTTGCATTTTTCAGTGTTAAACACCATCAGGTTCTCGTCTGCCCATTTGCTGAGCCTGTCCAGGTCAGCCTGGATTACCCTCCTGTCTTCTGGTGTGGATGCTTTACCCCAGAGTTTGGTGTCATCAGCAAACTTGGCCAGTCCACTTCTGATACCAATGTCCATATCATTAATGAAGATGTTAAATAGTATAGGGCCAAGGACAGAGACCCGGGGGACCCTACTGGTTACAGGGCACCATGACGATTGACTTCCATCAACCACCACCCTCTGGGTCCTGCCATGGAGCCAATTGCCCAGCCAGCGGATCATGGTGTGGCCGAGGCTGCAGTTAGCCAGTTTTACTAAGAGGTGATCATGGGATACCAGATCAAAGGATTTTTTAAAGTCAAGATATACGACATCAGTCTCTTCTCCTTTGTCCAGGTGATAGGTCACCTGGTCGTAGAAGGAAATGAGATTGGTCAAGCAAGACCTACCTGCAACAAACCCATGCTGGCTATCCCTCAGGATGTTGCCATCAGCCAGTCTGTTAAGAATGGTCTCTTTGATAATCTTTTCTAAGACCTTCCCCGGGATAGAGGTCAGGTTGATGGACCTATAGTTTGCTGGATCCACTTTCCTCCCTTTCTTGAAGATAGGCACCACATTGGCCTTCCAATCATTGGGCACTTCACCAGAGCACCAGGAGTTCTCAAAGATCCGTGCCAGGGGCTGGGCTATGATGCTAGCCAACTCCTTGAGTACCCTGGGGTGTAAACTGTCAGGGCCGGCTGACTTGAAGGTGTCCAGCCTGTCAAGGTGTTCCTTCACAAGGTCAGCATTGATGGAGGGTAAGGAATCTCCCTCACCCAGGCCTCCCTGCCCCATAGTGAGCAGGGGCGTCCCATGGGACTGATGAAAGATGGATGCAAAGTACCCATTTAGCAAGTTGACTTTTTCCTGGGCATCAGTTGTCAGTTGTCCCATCTGGTTTTGCAGGGGTCCAATGTTGCCCTTGCTTTTCCTCTGGCTCCCCACATATCTAAAAAAGGACTTTTTGTTGTTCTTGATATTTGTAGCTAGCTGGAGTTCCATCGCAGCCTTGGTTTTCCTGGTTTGTTTCCTGCAGGTCCAGACCAGCGCAGAGTATTCCTCCTTGGAATACTCCAGTCTTCCATCCTTTGTAGGTTTGTCTTTATAGACGCAGGACATCTGCTAGTTCCCTGGAGAGCCAAGGGGGTTGCTGTGCCCTTTTGCTGCCTTTTCTCCAAGATGAGATAGATTTTGCTTGTGCATCCAGGAGCGCTTCTTTGAGGAGCAGCCACTCGTCCTGAACTCCCCTCCCTTTTGGGTTGTGGCCCTTTAGGGCCTCTCTCATGAGCCTCCTGAGCTTGTCAAAGTCAGCTTTCCTGACGTTGAGGACTTCCGTATTGCTGACTGACTTGCCAGCTTTACAGCAGATGGTGAAGGTGATCAGCTTGTGGTCGCTGTCACCCAGCTTCCCTTCGATCATTATGTTGCTGATTAGGTCGTCCCCCCATTGCCAGAACCAGGTGGAGCAGCACTTTACCTCTCATCAGTCCGTAGACTTCTTGCATCAGATAGAGCTCATCCACGCATGAGAGAAAGCTTTGCAACCACTCGGATTTGGCCGAGCGCTCTTCCCATGAGATGTCTGTGTAGTTGAAGTCTCCCATGACAACCATGCACTGGGAGCATGCGGCCTCAGCCAATTCCCTGGTGAACTCCTGGTCAAGCTCTTGATTCTGGGTGGGAGGTCTGTAATAGACTCCCACCATTGTGTTCCCTGCGCCATGTTCCCCATGGATTTTAACCCAGAGGGACTCCAGTCATATACCCTGAACACCAATGTCAGCTTGCAGGGATGCGTAGTTTTCCTTGACAGAGAGAGCTACACCACCGCCCCTTTTGTCTACTCGATCTCTCCTGTACAGGGTATAGCCATCTATACCTGTGGTTCAGTCATGGGTGGAGTCCCACCAGGTCTCCGTTATCCCTATGACGTCATAGTTATTTGTGTTAAGCAGGAGGACAAGTTTCTCCTGTTTATTCCTCAAGCTCCTGGCATTTGTGTACAGGCAGGCAAGTGTCCCTTTGGGGGCCCTTGCCTTGCCTGCAGCTCACTCCAGGGCTGGGGCAGGGGTGGGCTCTCTTAAGCGGCTTGACCTGTTGGCTTTGCAAGAGTCGCTCAGCAGGCCAACAGTGGCAGTAGTCCCCCCATCCCCCGGCAGGCTTAATTTAAAGCCTGGTGGAGCAGATCAGCCAGTCTGGCTGAGAAGAGCCTCCTCCCCAGCAGAGAGAGGTGGAGGCCATCCCTTCCCAGCAGCTCACTGCCTCTCTCACCGAAGAGTGGACTGTGGTCATGGAAGCCAAAGCTTCCCGATGACACCAGCACCGCAGTCTTTTGTTTACTACCTGGATCTTCCTCTCCCTTCTCAGCCTGTGGCCCAAGACTGGGAGGATCTATGAGAACACCACCTGCACCCCCAGACCCTTTAGCCCTGCTCCCAAATCCCTGTAGCGCTTCATGACCCAGCTGGGAGCGCTCCAAGCTGTGTCATTGGTGCCCACATGGATAAGGAGCATAGGGTAGTGGTCAGTGGGCTGGAGGAGCTTAGGGATCTTCTCCGCAATGTCTCAGATTCTGGCTCCCAGGAAGCAGCAAACTTCCCAGGCTAAGGGGTCGGGGAGGTAAATTACCCCCTCAGTCCCCCTCAGGATGGAGTCTCCCTTGTGTTAATCCACCTCTGGTTCCTGGTTCCTGGTTCATTGTTTCTTATTCCTGGATTCTAGTTCCTTTTCTGAAGTTACTCATTACACAATTACAGGTTTTTAATAATGAATTAGGTGTGTTAAAAAGTGACACTTAGCAAATTTGCAGATGTTTGCCTTGGCAGTGTCTGAGTAGCTCCAGCTTGGGGGAGGGCAGAAGATATTAAAAGAAGAGACAGATGCTGGTGAGCCGACAGTCTCAGCACTTGGAACTTGGGTGTATGACACTGTTAACATGAAGGCTCTGATTTTTCTGGAGCTTTTTCTCCTGCTGCTGACTGCTCATGGGAAGATCTATGAAAGGTGCGAGCTGGCTGCAGCCATGAAAAGGCTTGGGTTGGCTAACATTCGAGGATACACTTTAGGAGACTGTAAGTGTGCTGCCTTGTGATTTTAACATGGTTTATGGGTGGGAGGGCGATGTACCCTTTTCATAAATCCCAGGTAAGGTTATCTAGTCTCTCCCTCTCCCTTTCCCACCTAGCAGACCTAACTCAGTCTGGAAGCTTTTCCTTGTACCAGTCTAAAATACTAGTTCTCCCAATTCCACCCCACTCTCTGCTCTGCTCAGTCATTCCTTTCTATGCTTGGTATGTCTGAACCCTTCTCTCTTTCTGTTCTATTATGAGCCTTACTGTAGCAGGACTGATAGATGGTTCCATAGGAGTAAGGAGGACACAGAATGCAGAGTGTGGCATGAGGCCATGGTGGGAGCCCTGTTAACAGTAGAAATACAACCAGCAGTGACTCGAAACCCTAATTTAGGATGTATGTGGTATAGAGAGTATCCTTAGAGAATGGGATGGAAAAGGAGCATCACTGGAGACACTAGGGTGGTAGAGAGCAACAAGTGAAGAAGATTTGGAGAAAGGAAGCAAAAAGAATGAAACAACTGGGGCGGGGGGGAGAAGAACAAATTACAATGCAATGTGTTTGTACTCCAGGGAAGAGAAAGGCCTTTCTTCACTGATTATCAGTAGTGATGAGGAAACCATTAAGAAACCAGTTTTTAAGGGTGATATACATGTGTTCTTATACAGAAAAGTCAAATCTGCTGCTTGCCCATGCAGCTCCACACATCTCAAACCCAATAAATCCCTTCCTATAACCCAAATAATTCAGATTTATTCATGCAAAATGGATAAGAAATAGGAAAGTTAACCAACAGTAAAGAGGAGCTAAGTTCCCCATAAAGATTTCTCACCATATATCTCAATCAGTGATGTCAGCAATCAGCAATTATACTTTCATCCAATTTGCTTCCTTACCCCAAATCTTGTCCACTCCTTGTGCTCTGCCACCTTGTTTTCTCCAGTGAGGCTTCTTGTCCATCCCACTTTCTCTAATGATACTCTTTAAACTACACAAAATATACTTTATTATTGAAAAGACAGATTTGTGTAGACAGTCTCCTTCAGAGTATACCTTCGTACCTGTGGCAGTAGTACAGGAATAAGAGGAGGTCTCTTGGCTTTTGTTGACATGGGAGTATTGAGACATGGGAGTCCATCCCTAGAAGCAAAGCTGAACACTGGTGTTTCGACCTGGAACGCTGGAATGCCCTGGAGCACTGGGATTCCCCACTATTGACCCTGTCTGGTAAAAACAGGGGGGAATGCTCCACCTGACTATAATAAGCTTTGTGCCCATTAAGACAACACAGATAGATCCTGAATATAGTTTCAGTGATATAGGTCCCACACTCTTCATATGACATCCAAATATTTGGATGTCCAAATTATACATTGAAAGTGTGTTTTGTTACATTCCTATTTAATAAAATTATGAATTTGCTCAGAGGAGAAAACAAACAACATGTACACATTCTGTATCAATTATTTGCATAATATACAGAAGGGAGACAGGTATTTTTATCCAGGGATCAGCCTATAAAGTGAGAGGAGGTTTAATCAGGTAAATGTAGCAGTCTCTGTACTCATTTTTCTTTCAAATGGAACCTTGCCAGGGGTGTGTACAGCAAAATATGAGAGCAACTTTAACACAAATGCCATAAACTATAACTCCGGTGATGGAAGCACGGATTATGGGATTTTGCAAATCAACAGCCGCTGGTGGTGCAATGATGGCAAGACTCCAAGAGCCAAGAATGCATGCAGAATCCAGTGCTCAGGTGACGCTATGAAAGGCTTATTCCTCTCTTCTATACTGGGGTGGGCTCCCAGGGTTGCAAATGTATATCTGAGGGACAGTTGTGGGGAATTAGCAACCCTTCCCTAAAGACAAAAGTAAAAGCCTTATTCTTCAGTCAAAAAGCAGGGGTAGCAATTTATGGTCATGTACTGGGGCATAAAAAGTAACACGCCTAAAGGACATTTTCTGTCAGGATTTGTGTTGGGGTTTTTTTAGGGTTTCTTTCTTTTTTAGACACTTCTGTCTTCCTTCCAGAGCAGCAGAGTTTACTTACCAGATACCCCCCCCTCTTGAGCAGAGTTAACTTTGCTCTCAAGAGCATGAAATTCACCCGTGTGCATAAGACCACTCTAGATGACAGTAGTAGTATAATGTCCTGACCTAACCTTGTGGCATTTTACAGATGACTAATGTTACTTTTATAAATCAATACTGTCCATTTGGAATCAAGTTCATTTAAAAAAACAGTTGAAAGGAGTTAGTGGTATTTCAGCCATCCCTTAGTGTTCCTATCTACTCTTGTAGTTTTCCAATGATGTTTTTTATATCTTCTTTCCTGTGTTTCCATGTGAAAGACTTACGCAAGCAACACAGGAAAATAGCTGACTCTCTTTCCAACCCCAACAGTTCACAAGAGTGGGAGGTCACCCCTTGTTCACAAGACCAGTCCAGAGCTTTGGGTCAGGGACAGATTAATGAACAGGCAAACTAAGCATATGCCTAGGGCCCTAAGCTACGGGGGCCCCCAGTCCTTCCCTCTGCAGCAGAGGCGCCCCCCGGGCGGGCAGCTAGCAACCCAGGGGCTGCCCCAGCTTGGAGTCAGCACCTGGCTCGATCCAACTCCTCCCTGAGTCCGCCCACGTACGTTTGTGGAGATGTGTGTGTGTGTGTGTATAATATATGTTTTAAGTAGGGGCCCACAACTTTGTTTGCCTAGGGCCCACTAAGTGGTTAATCCAGCCGTGCTTCTGGTCTCTTTTAATACCTTTTACTTGGACTCATTCAATACCTCTTCCAGCCAAAAAGCTGCCAAAAGCATAAGGTGGGGAAAAGGAGAATGTTTTTCCTCTCATTTCTTTCATTTATAGTGAATCTTAGATGTCATGGTTCAGCCAACTATCACTACAAGTTTCAGACAAGCATGCCTTTTTAAGTTAAGGGAATGCTGTCTTTTTATAATACTGGATAACAACTGCTTTGAAATAAGATAATTATCTAACAATCAACAAACAAATTCAAAACTGAGAGTAAAAGCAGGCCTTGCTATATTAGATCTGTGTTTTTGCTCAAAAACTAGACAGAGAGGAACTTCAAAATTATCGCACTGGAACAATCTATTGATCCAGTACCCTTTCACCAGTAAGTGTTTGGTACCATGTTTCAAAGGCATATGCAAAAAATCTTGCAGTAGTCGGCTATGGAATAATTGACCTGTGAGAGAACAGGGGATACTCACACGACGCATCCTCCCAGCTACGAGCTCGAGGTCTCCCAAAATAAAGTCTCCATGCTACAGCAGGAGCTTCCAGCGCACACCCGATCTGCTTTAACACCTTGCCAGGTGAAGCGGATTGGGGAATCGCACCGGCCAGAGCAATATCCAGGGCCGGGCAGGGAGAGCGAAATTGGAAGCCAGCGGCAGAATGAAAGACAGCCACGTCCTGCCTGAGACTGAAACTTCAGGAACAAGGAAAAGACCAGCAGGCTTGAGGGCTCGGAGGAGCCCTCATCTAAGCAATGGAGAGAATAAAAGAAGAATGCGGGCACTCTCTCCCTCGGCTTAACATTTTGTTTCATTAATTAATCACCGGTGCTTTCTAATCAAGCCAGATATGCTGGCAATCAAGATAGAAGAACAGGAGCCGTGGGGTTTGTTACTGTCCCAGCCCAGTTCCCTCTGGTTTTGTTTTCTCTCTCCCTTGGGGAATATCGAGTTGCTCTCCTCCAGCATCTTATCAGCACTGAGCGTGGCAAGGATTTACTAGCAAGAAAGAGGAAGAAGTGGATGCTTCGCCTCAAGGTATGCCTTGCCCTGATTGACTGCCTCCAGAAACAATCAAGCCGGGCATGGCAGCAATATAAGTAAAGAAGAGACCCGATCTGTCCCAACAAGGGAAGGCTCAGCCATCCGTGGGAACATAGACCGAATAAAAGGAGTTGGCTGGACCCTGACAAACTCGAAAAGGGACCCTGCTGGTCCAATAAATTTTCTTTTCAGTTCCTCAGTTCATTTGATGCCTTTCTTTTTCGCCAGCGTGGAGATCATAGTGAGAACCAGTAACCGGTGGCATCAGGCAGTGGCATCAGTCCTCCCTCCCTCCCCCTTCCTTTACATCGTCAAGAACCAGAAAACAAAAAAAGTCATGGCAGGCGGGAATAAGGGAGAGAGAGAGAGAGGGAGAGTCATCCTGAGCCAGCTATGCAGGGGAAAAAAGACCGGCGAACAGCTGTCAGGTGTGAAGTCACGCCTCTCTCCCCAGTAACTACCTGACAACCCATGAACTGAAGATGATTTTGGAGTGAGGACTAGATCATGCAACAAAGATGACTTTTGCTACCATTATTTGTTCTCTGGGGGCACATCTACACATGCTATTAATCTGCTGTAAGCTTACTGCACAGGAAACAAAGGCACAGTAAGCTTTCCCCGGGAACATATCTACATGTTTGCCCTTTAGGAGCATATTTGCTCCCAATGTTAGCAGTTCCGTGCAGGGCTACTCTTGCCCTGCTCTGCCCCCCTACAGCAGTCAGGCTGATAGGGGTGTAGGTCTGGGAAGCAGCTGTTCAGGGAAGAGGACAGTTACCCAGCCCTGTACCAGATAAGCCAATCAGGGTGTGGGGTTAGGAAGCAGCTGCTTGGAAGGGGGGACAGTTTCCCAGACCTGTGCCCTGTTGGGTTGATTGTCCCCAGCTGCCTGGACTGACCTGGAACAATTTGTTCTCGGTCAACTGTCTACACATACACTATAGTGCAGCAGCTACTGCATGGTTAATCTGTTATCTGTATCTACGGGTAGTAGCCAACTGCGTAGCAGACTAATTTACTGTGCAGTAAATGCTGTGCATGTGTAGACAATGATATTTTACTGCACTGTAGATTAGTCTACTGTGCAGTAAAATGGTTGTCATAGAAGCGCCATTTTCCTCCACTCAGTGTCTTTCTAGTCTGCTTAAAGTATTCCCCCTTCAGGGCAGAAACTGTCTGCTACTCTTCCTGGATGGTATGTAGCAAACAGGGCTCAATGTTCAGTTTGTTCTCAGACATTACTAAAATGAATATAATTCATAAATATGAGCTAATTTGAGGATCATTTTTAAGATTACTGAATCAAAAATGAAGGGGGAAATGTTTTTTTTATATTCCCCCTGCCACTTTTCTTACTTTATTTGTTCATTTTCTTAGAGTTCCTGAAGCCAGATATTACGGCAGCTATTAATTGTGCAAAGAGGATTGTCAGAGATCCACAGGGCATGAATGCATGGTATGTTTTCAAACATTGCTTTTCAACTTTTGCAAGAACAAGTGTTGCTTACAGTAATTGTCTTTGTATACTGGGGGGTTACTAATTAAAGAAAAAGAATACAATCCTGTTAGAGGTAAATTACTAGAGAAGCAACATGGAGATTTCAAAGATTGTGCTTGTATATTAATATGTGAATTCAGAACTTACAGAACTTACTTAGTTACTAGGAGTTACTAAGTAATTTACTGTGATAAATTAATGGACATGTAAGTGTTATAACTACAAAATACATCAAGACCATTTGAAACTTTAGCAGGGTAGAGAAAAACTCATCTTTCTGCTCCACAAATTCCTTGCCCTTGGACTGAAGAAAAATCTCTCTTACTCACTACCAGTATAAGGCCTCAGGTACATTTTTATATGCAGTCCAGTTTTAATTCTGTTACACGTAGAGTAGTGATACTGTGATGAGTCTTTACCACCAGCTTTAAACATCAGTCCCTGTGCTTTGTGTAGGCTCAAAAGCCATGCGCTTACTGGCTTTGACTTCATTGACAAATTAAGAGTCAGACAGCACAATGTCCAGTCCAGTTCAGTCCAATCCAAGACTGCTCTTCCAACTTAGCTCTTCTGACAGTTCCTAGATCATCCCAACCCCTAGGTGCTCTCTTCCTCTAATCCAAGCTTTCTTCGTTAGGGTAACTCTGAAACTAGCATCTTCTCTTATAATTCCCTCCTGACTTTTTATTAGAGGCAAGTGTTTTAGGATCAACTTAAGCTGCTATCTCCAGGACAGTCGGTTGACTCCTTTCTGCCCAGGTTCAGTGCAGCATGAGTTCACTGCATCTGGCACACACACTTCTATTTGGATAACTCTAATTTTAGAGCAGCTGAGATTCCTGCAGTCCAAATCCCAATGCAACAAATCTATAATCACCAAGAATTTCAAGACTGTGGTGATCCTACATGCCAGAGTCCCTTCATACTTCACAGTGGCACTGGGAATAGAACAAAAATACTTGTTCCATAGACATTTAGTTTGATTTCTTAAGCTAGAAGTGAGCAGTCATTACTACTTTTTAACAGAAGAGAACTTAAAGCAAAAACCAGTTTTTATTCCATCTAGTAGAGAGTAGTGATACAAAGAACTCAATCATCTTTAGTAGGATCAGCTGCTGATCTGGTAGCAGGGCAACTTTGGACTTTTATGGGGCAGCCTCTTAGGAGGGGTTGACAATCTCAACCTGTAGTTGACATACACAGCTCCAGAGTCCATCTGGCTTGTGGTGATTTAAACAGTCTGTGTGCCATAGAGACCTAAAAAGGCAGGGTTTGACTGGTGGCAAATGACTTGTTCTATTAGCTTACCCTCTGAAGAAAGGACTTGCAAAAATTAAAAGAGTATTGAGTTTTTCTCCCCTGAGGGGTTTTGACTAAGTGTTGAGTTTGCCATTATTGTTTAGCATGATTTTCCCTTCCACAGGATGGCATGGACAAGGCACTGCAAAGGAAAATATGTCTCCCAGTACCTCAAGGGCTGCAAACTGTAAAAAAGAGTTGGCGGCATAACTGAGCTCAGTTCCTTTTAAAAAAGCCAGCTTTTCACATAAACTGTCCTTCTCACTTGCTACACTTTCTATAATAAATAAGAAAAATATAAACAAACTCATAAGAAAGGACTGATTGATAGAATACAAGTACTTTACTCTCTGCTGGCAAGACTCTGGATATTTCCCCATGACTGGCTGAAGAGACCTATTTTGTGTTCAACACCCTACTAACACTCTGATTCTCTCTATCATCTGTATGCATCATATTTCAGTGAAGTTCTGCTTCAGTTCTGTTTTGCTAATCAATACTAATATGCTATGTCATCTTGTTTGAAGGCCTAAATTCATTAATCAATAACATTGCTCAATTTGCATATGGCTTTGTGACTTACTGGTAAATATGCACAAGAGATTGAAGAGATACCGAGATAGCACAACATAAAAAAGAGTGCAAGAACAAAACTTCATTAGTGAGCCCTAGATGCTGTCTTTCTTGAGCATCTGACACTTCTATCTAGCTTTGGTTGGCAATTGTACACTCATTTATAAATATCACAAAAGCACAATTTGAGGGACGTTAAAAGTTATGACTGTAAAGTAAATATTTTAATATAATTTCTCACACTGTTTATAAAACCCACACATTTAAAAGCCAGGGAATTAACAGACTTCATATGCCTTATACTGCCTGCATAAGACATGTATACACTAGTCCAGGGGGTACTTGAGAAGGCCCTAGGGGGTACACGCAGGCAGGTGGGGATGGAGCGCTACCACGCACCATCCCACGCTGCCACGCAGGCACCACCCACCCAGCTGGATGCGGGGGAAGGTGGATGCCGCTGCTCTGTGTTTGGCCTATGCCACCACCTGCATCCGGCCACCAGGGATACACTGATCCAAAAAGGCTGAAAACCCCTGCATTAGTCCTTATTTCACAAAGTACTTATCATGTGAGTAATTCCACTGAAGTCAGTGGGGAAGCAGACAACTGCATTGCACTCAATTTCTGAACGGTACTGCTGGGGTTTGTTAGCACTTGGCAGATTAACTTCCTAGTCGAGCAAGGACACGAGGCAAAAAAAAGTAGGGGGGCTGCATTATTAGATGCCCCACTCCTCTTCTTTGCTGTGCCAAGTGGCTCAGAACACTGTCCCAACTTTTACTCTCCATTTGTTTTCTATGTTTAATACTGTATATACTCAACTACAAGACTAGGTTTTTTTCCCCCAGTCATCATGGGAGGAAAAAGCCCCTCATCATACATGTGCATATGAGGAAACCTCATTAAATACATTGGCAGCATTTTAATGATAGACAAAAGCAGCATGTGCTCAGAATGGAAACCAACTATGAAGTTGATTTGATTAAATGCTGCCAACAGTGAGCATGACTATTAAACACATGGTTCATATTGGACAAATGTGCTGATGGGAACCTACCACAAGAAATAGGTTTCTGCTATCGTTCTGAACAAGATATAAGATAGTGCTCATTAAGTTCAGTCCCCCTCAGCGCTGCCCCTCAACGCCACTACACAGAAATAATTTCAACTTCCTCTTCACTCCCACAGCTGAGCTGCACTTTTCTTTTTTATCTCCATTGATTCCTGTTTCTTCATCAGCCTGAAATATCTGGCAAGCATCACCAAAAAGTTAAGAAAAGCCACCCAAAATCCTTCTGTCAACCTCTCTCTCAGCCTGTTGCATATGGCTAGTGCAGCCTCACACTCCATGAGGGGAAGCTGGACCACATTGAGCCTATGCTTCAGCTGCATACAAATTTTTAGAGCATCCCAGAACTCATGACAAGAACACCTGGTTCCATTCATGAATGCGAGGGCTATTTAGCACATGAATCCTTTATAGAGGGGTATCTGGAATACACACATATACTGATATGGGTGACTGGTGCCTCCTAGGTCTGGTGGGGCACCCGATCACTGGGCTGGGGGGGCCCGGCAGCTGATCGCTGAAACTGGAACTGCCGCTGGGGGACCGCTGGGACTCTGTCAGGGGGGGCGTGTACCCCTCCTACGCATCACCTATGTATACTGAGCAGGCCTGAGTTGTGGGGTCATTGTGGCTTGAAATGCTGTTGACTGCTGGGGTCCAGCCCAATGAACCACATGTTAAATCAAGGGCCTTTTGGCTTTGGATTAATATCATGCATAGCTCTCAGGCTTCCCCTCTGACTTCCTCCTTTGACTTTTTGGATAGGAGCAACTGAGACTAGGGTGCATCTGAGTTTCAAGGCCTCCAGTTTGGTGGCTTGCGCATAGGATACCTGCCATGAATTTGGAAGTATCTGAAGCCCCAGGCTGAAGAGTCTTAGAGGTAGGATATTTGCCAGTGGTAGCACCACACAGGCTTGAACAATTGAGCTCGGCTCAGTCGATAGAATTTGGAACTGATTTGGATGATTTGGCCTGAGAAACACACACACACAAAAAAGTTTGTACTATAACTTCTGGGCCAGGGCCCCCTGAGTGGATCAGGGGGAGGACTAATCAGCTTACTTTGTCCGGGTAAAGAAGACCAGGAGGGAGGCCATGACCAGCTTGGTGGTCATAGCCAGGGTGAGCCACCAGTCAAATAAAGAGATACTGGATATGGCAGCAACTTTCTACAGAGAACAGTACACAATATACCCAGAAGACCCACGGACCATACAGGACTGCTTGCCAGAACTCACCTGGATCCTCCAGGGGAGATATGAGGGCCAGAAACTGATGGAGGAGTGGACACTGGTAGAGACCACCAAGACTCCACAGCTCCACAGAAAAAGAACCCAGCACTCACTGATTGCTGCAGTGGCCATTGGGGCTTCTGGGGGCTTGTGACAGAGCCCCCCATGCAGCGTGGGGCAGGGGAGGGAAATGGGGACTGCTTCCCCCCTCCTGGCAGGAGCTGGTGAGTGCTGGGCTTTTTTTTTAAGAGCCAGGAGCTAGGGCCAGGTGGGGCAGCCATTGATGAAGCTGAGAGAGTGGGCAGGGGATGGGACCTGTCCAATTCAGAGATTCGGCCAGTTCGGTAGCAGCCAAATCTCCAAATCAGATTCAGCTGAATCTATTCAAGACAGTGATTCGAATCACCAAATTGAATCACTGTCCCCTGAATCAGCCGAATTCAAAGCGAATACTAGCCACTTTGCACAGGCCTGCTGCCTAGCACTGGGCTAGCTCAGGGACCTGTGTACCTTGCAGGTCCCCATCCCCTGTAAGTGGGTAAAGATCCTTGGGGCAGAGTTCAGCCCAGAGCTAAGAGGCCAGAAAGTGTAAGAGAAGACCAAGACCAAGGTCAAACAGAGACTTGGGACTATGGAACATGAGCCACCTGTCACTGTGGGGGATGTGCGGCACTCATGAAGGTGTTGTTGCTGCCAATCCTTCTGTACACCATGCTGGTCTTCCCCCACTCAGAGCAAATCACCCATAGAGTGCAGAGGACCATGTGCATCTTTTTCTGGGGCTCCAAATGGAAGAAAGTTGTGATGACCATACTGTACAAGATGGAACATACCAGGGGCTGAGGTATGCTGCCCATCCTGCTGTTCTTTTGGGTCATGTACGTGAGCCAGATTAACAAACTTGTAGCCAGAGCAGAATCCCAAATGGCTGGCTTTCTGCGATATTTTGCAGGGCATCTACTGCAATGCTGGGGGTGTACATACCTCCCAACTCACACCCATATTACAAGGTCTTGGAGAACTTCTGGAACAAGTACAAGTTACATAATGAGAACCTAGCAACCCTGAAAAACCACCATAAGATGCAGGCAGGTGATTAGGGCAAGGCATAGACTGTCAACCAGGGATGTACTACCTGGTGACAGCTGCCAGACCATGTGGGAATGTATTTTCCACAAGGACCTGCAGAACAAACACAGGGACTTGAACTGACAGGTAGCCCAGCAGGTACCCCCCCCCCCCCCCCCCCCCCGCCTCTGCAGGCACTTATTTATTTATTTAGTGAATGGAAATCCAGAAAACCAAGCAATAGACTCCTCATTAGCTGAGTTCAAAGCTATTAATCCACCTCTTAGTTTGTAGAGGGGACACTCCTTGGCAATATGCGGCATTTTTTGTATCTCTCCACAAGTGCAGGGACCTTGGCCTGCAGGCACTGAAACACAGAGAGGGGCAGAGAGGATCACCAGCTTGCCCCAGACAAAGAAGCACATGGAAGGAGGAAACAATTGACCACCTTCTTTGAGGATGCTGGATACCACAGAGATGTGGAGGAGAGCAGTCGTATTCATCAGGATGGTGACAGGGATCAAGACCTTGACCAGAGTGGCAGTGCTGTTTGGACACCTGACCAAGCAGCAAGGGACCCCAACAGCCTGCTTCAACAAGTTCACCTCCTGCTTCAGGAACACCCTGTGGAAGACCAGGAACCTACTCATGTACAAGCAAACAAACCTCCCAGTTGAGGACTGCATTACAATGGAAGTGAGGTTGGCTTCAGGTATACTACAGGAAGAGGGAAGAAGACTGTTGCAGGGCACTGTTTGTGCCTGCCCCTTTAAGGGCCTGAAGCCAGAAGCTGGCAGGTGTCTGATGAGGGCAGCCATTTTGGATTCAGGGCTCCCCATATAAACAGGGCATTTCACTGTTAGAAGTCCAGGCAACAACATCGCCTGGCCAGACGGCTGCTGGTATCATCTGGAGGTATCATCATATAGGGGCTGGTTTAGAAGGCTCCTGGTCCAGGGCATGACCTAAAACTGCACCCTGCTGGAAGTGGGTGGACTGGTGGGGGACTCAGTGGTGCGGGAACCCCCAGGAAATGCCAGGCCAGTTACCACCCCGGTGAAAGGCGGTTCAGGGTGCCTTAACCCCACCTCCCACCTTTGGGTGGGTCAGGTAACAATGGAGGTAGAGGGGGCCAGGCATGGGTATGGCCGCCTGAGCCCACCCAATGAGGGAAGCCCTGAGATCCCGAGTAGAGGGGGCAGCGTGGAGCCCCAAATAGAGGGGGAAAAGAACTAGAGGGCTGA